GATCGCATATACTCATTTCTAGAGTAAAAATAGAATGGAGCAGCTTAGGCAGATTGAAAATATGTTTATCCTGAAAATTACCCTGGCGCTTGAAACGAAAAGTTTTCGATCAGTGTGTGCCCCCCGGTGGTGCGAATCGTAGACCCTCAGCCTGAAAGCTGTTTATAAATGCAGACTACTCAACGCAGCACGTTAAGATCTACGTTGGGAATAACAATTATATATATGAAGAGAAATGCGTGTGTAAAATCAAACAAGGGTCTGCGATGTCATTGCCTGAGTGAAAAAATTGAAATGGCAATTGATAGGAAATGTTTCAGGAAGGTCCGACCTTTGCTGGACATCAAATTGGGTTCCAACAGAGGGCAAACTACCCGCTGGAAGACCTCCAGATTGACGGCAGCATGAGTTAAAGTGGTTCGCTTGATCAGGACTGATAAGAATCACGGAAAATTTAACTTTATGGTAAACTCTATCCATTAATCAGTTGTGCATCGAGTAAAGCTGATTCATTTCTATAAGCAAAAAATTCCAGTATCAAAAATTTAAAAAATGATTAATTCGTTTCTACTTATTTGAGTTCAAAAACATCTAAATTCCAGTCATTCTGCATTGTCCAAACATAATAGACATATGAACATAAATACCTATTGTTCTGCATCTGGCTTGCAGCCTAAATAAAGCATTCAAACAGATTGCTTGCTGTATGGAAAAAAGCAGCAGAACTGAAAGTGTTACCCCGTTAGCGAAAGGATGATGCTATGCATTTTTTTTCATGCTGGTTTTTCGCGTATGAGTCATATACCAGTCACCAAATACAGCTTATATGCACCTGTTGGTTTTTCAGTATCGTTCCATGTGATATTCGTTTGTTTTCATACCGTTCCACGCGAACGACGAAAAGGCATGACAACGTGACGTAACTGCAACTTTACCCTTTCTGACTATTTCGGAAAAGGGGGGACGGAATTCAAAATGCTCATGATTAGAAGGTAAATTTATTTTGGAAACGGTGAAAATGAAGGGGTGCTTCGAGTGTCTACTCCGTTTTTATTCTGCAATGACTTCCTGCCCGATGACACTTCTTTTGCCGATTGCCATTGTACCCGGTTAATAAATGATGACGACTGTGTATTTAATCGATTCCATTGAATGTCTAGCCTCATTAAACAAAATCTAAAATAATTACAAAAATTTTGAGACATTTGCATGTTGTTGAAGCACTACTTGTGAACTGTGGAAGATGGCCGCCACCGTAGGTCGCAATGTGCTACCTTTCCTGGTTCAGCTGTAGCAGTTTGACCAGACGTTAAAATGAATGACCCAGATTCTAGCAGATCTCGTTGTAAACATCAATCCTGGCTAGCGGGTAAATACTTTTTTTAGGAGTCACCATTTGTAACAGTTTTCGAAGAACATCGTGGTCATGATTTGTCTGCAATTATATCAACGCATCGAAAACCGATCAAAGGGGAAAGTTTTGCCTCAGCACTCTTCGATTAGAATTTTTTGACTCTTTCACGACTACGTGTCAAAACACCACAAGATAATAGAAATTAATGGAAGGAGGTCATTGCGCTCCTAGAAGTGCATTTTCTGTTCACTGAATTGGTTAATTATGGCATAATGATTCGCAAGAAAATTAGCGATCAGTTATCCTGCAGCATATTGTGTGACTGAAAAAACTGTTAGACGCCAGTCAATGCAGCTGCATCTCATGCTGGTCCCTGGTATAACAATCCATGGTATGACCATCTTGTAGTAAGAGAGTAAATAAGTCACATGATGAGGAAATTTAAGTTGCCCTGCTTTGAGTCAATTTCTCATGTTGCATTCTAAACGTGAATAGTCTTTATCTCGGAATAACCAAAAACGTATGACTTTTGGGTCGCTTGAGTTCGAAGGAAATTTTAGGTTTCGGAAACAGTACTTTATTGAATATTTAGTCGCCCTCACTTCGCTGTCAGAGAGGCTGACTAGCAAGGTCTAAAGTTTTGTTAAAGTCTACTGTTTCTTGATGCGGACAATATCCATGTAGATCGATGTAACTGCTAACGTGAATAATTTTAATGCGGAAATTAAACTGGTTATAATAATCTCATGAGGCAACAGTTGCGTCCTCAAGACCATGAGGATCATGAGGCCCAAAAAGGTGGAAGACAGGTCAGCGTGACTGCAAAGAAGTCCAACCAAAGTCACCAAATTATGTTCTGAGCTGGCATTCATGTGTTTCACACTGCAAACAATGATCAGCCCTTTGAATACGCACTGAAATACACATGTGTGCATGCAAAAGGTAGAGAAAGCATATACGTGCAAAATGAATGCGCAGAGTCTCACATTCATTGCATGCCACACTTGCTGCTGTTGAATATTACAGACTGTGATAAATATCATTACACAATTAGATGTAATACTGTTATGGCTGAAAATGCATTCGTTACATTTTGCTCTCCTTCTCAAGGATACCATTTCATTGTCCAAGTCATGAAGCGAGAACAGCTATCAAATAAAGAAACCATTACCTTAGCGAACTACGGCGGAGAAACTTTCATCACTTCATCGGCGGCGAAATCTGCCATTAATCCTGAGACGATCAACTAAGAAGCGATGGCATCATGAGTTAGCCGACCTAATTATGTCTATCAAGTAGATCAGATGCGGAAAAGAAAATTCCAATGATAAGTCCATTGGCAAAAATTGTTTTCGTTAGTCCTGCCAGTCACGCATGACCCCTCGAAGACCTAATTGTGTTGGACCACCTCATTGCTCATCGTTGCCTACGGGGTTATTTAGGCTGGTCATAGTTCCATAGTATTTGACAACCTGCAGTGCCAATGCATCGCGCATAATCATTTTGCTACGGCAGTCTCATGGTCATCAAAA